TTTACTTCGAGCTTAACCATCGCGACAGTACCCGTTTTCCCTCCAGGGTAATGGCAGCCAATCTGCATCCCCTGGCCCATGTGACGAACTCCAGTCACGGCCGGCCTCTCCGGGACAGGCCAGGCCCCTCTCTGCTTGCGGAACCCAATCCCCTAAAATCATAATGCATAATGCGGACAACTGCTTTCACCTTCGCCTTGATCTTACTGTCGGATGTCCATTCCTCCCTGAAAACTACATTGTTGCGGTCCTCCCAGATTACCCACATTACTGCCGATCGGCGGCACGCCTGAGCTACGTAACCCCACCCCTTGTGCCGAAAGAACACAGGGGGGGAGAGGGAGGGAGATGGCCGGTGGAAACCCATTCCCGGTCCCAGATGAACTCTGGTGCGATTCCCTGCCAATGTTCTTTCCACCATCTCCACATGCGGAGGGATGCAGTGCAGGACACTCCCATTACTCAATGACTCAATGTATCGGAGACTCCTCCTGCCGACTGCCGACTGCCACATCGTTTGCAGGCTGGTGAAATGTCCATCCCCTTTTCTGTCAAACCACTGCAGTACTTCCTAGAGTCCTGCCCGTTAACGCGCCACGATTTTAGGAAACGTACGGGCCACTACAGGAGCGGCCAAATTCATCCGACTAGAAACGTTTCTACTCTATTTTTTTCCCAGCGGCCGATAGCTGGGCCAAGTACTGGTGGCTTAACCACTTCGCAGTTGGGATTGCTGAGTGTGAAAGAAGCCAGAGGAGGCCGGCCAGCTTCCAGCTTGCCAGCTGGGGAAGTTGTGACCAGACCAGTTTTTCTACAGAAGCAGGCGATAAGGCGTTCGGGGGTTGAGGGAGGTGGAGGGGGGTGCAGGGAGGTGGAGGGAGGTTGAGCAGACGAGCCATCATCCTCTCTCGCACACACTCGACGTGAAGAGTGTCCCAGGGAATTAGCTTCCCCCTGCGTCCGAGTTTAGTATGTTGTACTGCGTTATAATTTTCCTGTTTAAAAAAAAATAATAATAATAATAATAATAATTTCCTGTTTCCAGGCTGGACTTCCCAGAGGCGAGTTGCTGGATCCAAACGGAGGTCTGCAATCTTCAATGGCCGCTCCTCCTTGGACCTTGGATGAGAGCAAAGCCAGCCACTTCGTCTGTTCCCACTTGAGAGTTTTGCATCACTCTTATCGCTGTCAAGTGTTGATCTTTTGCTCCAACAACAATTGTGGGCTTTTACCCCAACAACACTTGGCATCGCCTAGTGTGGCTTCTGACAGGCGTGTGTTAGCTTTTGCTCTCTTCCTTGGCCCTGTTCAGCAGTCCATCTTGAAATATGATTGACTCTCCCTTCTTCCCTCTGTTCCTCGATCCTGATGATGCTCCCCCGCAGTTGAAGTAGTGTGAAGTTGTGTGTATGAGTTGTGTAGCAAGTGCCCAACTCCCTCTTTTGTCCAGTTCTGTACCAAGTGCCCACCTCCCTCTTTTGCCCAGCTCTCGACTTCTCCTGCCATTCAGTTGGTGCATCATGGCTTCCACCGGTATCTGAGTCCGCTCTCTCACGTCCCGCAATCGCCCCAGGGATTGGCGAAGGGTATAGCTGCTGGCTGGCTTCCATTCCAGTCTAGAGTCTAGATCTTCTTCGGCCCAGATGTCTGAGACCCTTGAAATACCCTTATCTACCCATTTATGGCCAAACTCCCCCGGCTGTAGGACCCTTGAAATATCCTTCTCTCTTTTTTTTTTTTTTTTTTTTTTTTTAAGGCCTCCCGGACTCTTTTTGTAAGGCGCTGCCAAGTGTTGTTGGGTGTTGGGGTAAAAACCCACAAACCTATTCTGGGTAATGGTCCCAGGCGTGACTGATTCATTTCCGGGGTTGTTTGTGAGGAATTCCCGGCCTCATGTTTTTCTTTTTTTTTTTTTTTAGGCTAATTCTTTAAGCCCAACCAATTCAATTACCTGTCACATCTGGACAGGACGGCCTCATGTTTCATGATAATGGATTCCTTACTTTTTCCCCAAAAAAAAAAAGAAAAAAGAAATACCCTTCTCAGATGGTTGAGAGGATGTCGAGAAGCATGAATTATCCGTTTATAGGATCCTTGGATTGTTGAACAGGGGCTGGCACAAAATTTCTTCTCTTGAAGCGGGGGTTCACATGAATTGAGGATCGAAGCTTCTTCCAGGCAAGCAATCTACCAAGCCAAGCCCAGTGCTGATTTCGCGCGGCGGTTCAGGTGAAGCCTGGTTTTGAAGGCACACCCACACATCTGCTGCTCTCTCCGTTTGGAACTTAAATTCCTGCTGCAGTATATCTATATATATATTTTATATATATACTGCATTAAAAAAAAAAAAAAAAAAAGTATATACTGCATGATTTCCAGCCAATGTGTCGAAACGGAGAGAGCAGCAGATGTGTCGTTGTGGCTTCAAAACCGTAGGAAATCATGCTTTCTGGATCCAGCCAATTCCTGCTTTCAGTCTGCACCCCCACCTTCTGGATCCATTTGCCCAAAAGGGCCACATTTTGAAGTTTTGGGGTCCGCGACGCCCAGTCCCCCCTTCGGATCTCGGCTGCGTGATCTTTTCTCCCAAGACACTGTGGAGATGAAATGTATTCCCCCCTTTGGCTCTTCTGCATCTGGCTTCCACAGATAACGGACAGGTGTAATGCCAAGGCTCTGATTTTCTGCAGTGTGGGTCTTTCAATCAGTACTACTCAAAAAAAAAAAAAAAAATCAGTACTACTCGTCACACAGATATGGATGTGGATGTGCCAGATAAGAGAGAAGACGGACGTGCTGATCGCCGGGGCTCTCCCCATCACACAGATATCCCTGTTGCTTACCGTGGCTCTCCCCATCAGAGATAACGGACCGGTGTAAAGCCCGCTGGTATCTTTTTTTTTTTTTTTTTTTAAATCTATTTTTGGCTGGTATCTAAACTGATAGTTGACTTTAAAAAAAAAAAAAAAAAAAAAACTGATCGTTGGCCAAAATACAGCAAAATTCTGTTCGAGGGAAGATGGTCGCGGTTCTTGTGGGCACGTCCTCACCGCCAGCCTAAGGGCGTGTTCACTCACCGTAGGACTTTTTCAACTGCGATCAGATACATCCAGCTGCACCTGGGCGGAAATTGTGAACAGGTGCACCCAGAAAAGGTACCACGGTAGTAGACGAGGGGGGGTATTACAAAGGGTAAGGGATTCTGCCACGTATCTGACGCGAATTACTGTCAAATTCAGTTGCAGACATCTGCCCCTCTTCTCTGAGAGGACTGTGCCGTCAATCAGCTTCGTTACTTGTGTGCGATATGGTGCGGGTCTATCTCCACCACTATTCAGTCGCCACATCCAAGACGGCCTCGAGTGCATCTTTCCAGTAAAACTGGAAACATACACTCTCCATCTCCCCCGCTCGTCGACTACCTACCGTCTTCTCCCTATCAAGACATATACCTTTATCATGAACAAATGTATCGTACCGTAAAGTTAGCTCATATGCATTCGTGAGGAAGTACGTTGTATCCGGCTGAAGACGTTTTAGGTGATGCCCATGGTCGCCAGCTCCCAGAGCCACAAGCGACGTTCGTTGGGCTGAGGTTTATGAGCTGACGTCACCAGTTGCGCCTGGCATGACAGCCTCTTTTTGTGTTTTGCTTTTTTTTGCTTTCCGTTGTTTTTTTTGCAAAAAAAAACTTTTTTGGATAGATTAAGAGCATGCTCACACACACTAGACTATTTTTCTACTAAGCTCTGGACGTGATTGCGGTCAGATTCATCCAGGTCTGGCCATAATTGCAGTCAGATACATTTAGGAAAGCGCTTAGTTTGAGTATGCCCAATCAGAACATTTGCGTATGCCCTAAGCTAATCAGAACAGATATTGCACGATCTCTTTCTTCTTCTTTTTCTTTCTTTTTCTTTTTCTTTCTTTTTCTTTTTCTTTCTTTTTCTTTTTCTTTTTCTTTCTTTTTTCTTCACTACATTAAAATCAATCATTAAAAAAAAAAAAATTAAAAAAATCAATCTCAATCAGTCTTCTTCGACATGTGTGCTACCGTCTTCCCCCGAGCACGACGCACCCTGATTCTGAATGTATACAAGCCATCTTTCCGGCTAGATGCAGTCATAATTAAGGTGCGTTCTGTATCGGTCCATTTTTCAGGGATGCTTCCCGCGATGGACACAACTACTTTCTCGAGATTACCGTTTTCCGCCGAACAGAACGCACCGCACATTACGTCTGCATCCAACCAGAAAGATGGCTTGTATACATTCAGAATCAGTGCGCGTTATCTTCCAAGGGGGGTAAAAAGTCGGTAGCACACATGTCGAAGACGCGCGCAGGCAACTTAAAAAAAAAAAAAAAAAATGCTATACCAGCTAGAATTGGGACGAAGTTTAAATAAATAAAAATAAAAAAACAAAAGTGGGACGATGGGTGCGAGATCAGGTCTCCTAGGTCAACGGAAGAATTTAGGTAAGGGAAGGGAAGTCTGCAAAATATGGATACGTCAAAAAAAATTGGGACCAAGGGGAAGACGACCGGGCCCAGAAAACTCACAGGGCATTTAGCATCGGGGTTCGTCAGGCAGCTGACACGTGGCACTCCCTCGCTTGTACCCGTGCCCAGAAAGATGACGTCTGATTCCCCTTCGTTGCCAGTCTCCGCCGCCTCCACGTCATCTATGACCTTCGATCGAGGGGCCGTTGGCCCCTGGAAGCCGTCCACGAACCCCCCTCCCCAAGAGGCATCCCGATCCCGTTCGCCAGCGCACGTGGCGTCAGCGCCACGTGCGGAGCTCGTGCCATACCCTGTCCCCGTCAGCGACCGATCTCCGCGGTCGGGACCCACGAATGGGCAGCAATCCACACGCCCCCCGCGCGCAATCCAGTGGCAAGGCGCGCGCCACGTGGCGGCGGGGCTGAAGACCGCAGGACATCGCCATTGCGACCCCGACGAGAGACCGACGGCCGTAGGCTTCTTCGGCTCACTATAAACCGAAGAGGAACAAGAACGCCGAGGTTGCTGCAAAAGGGGTAGCAGAGGCTGACGGCAAGCTCGAGGAGAGGAAGAAGAAGAAGAAGAAGAAGAAGAAGAAGAAGAGGGAACTGCCACGTGGCGCGTAATTGGCCACGTGGTCACCTCTGCACTTCCTCGGGCATTGTTATCGGTCGTCCACTTACCGGCCGCGGTCGCCGACCGCGCTCTTCGTGATCCAGGATAGGTCGTCGGCAGCCCGACCTCTGATGAAAGACAAGAGGTCACAAAGCGCGCCGATCTTTCAACGACTCCCGCCCTCACGCGAGAGAACCGATCACCGGAATCATCCCGACCAACGGCTGATATCGCCACGTGGCCGCTTCTTCGGCGCGACACGTGGCATGCCGTCCGGAGCGGCTCGATGCACGGGCCCCCCCCTGCTCCTCCTTCATTGCAACACCTGCTGGCCCCAGCGTCGAGGGACACGTGGCACCACCTGCTGCCATTGCCCCCCACAGCATAGTAAACGGACAACATGTTGGCGTGTCGTTCGCAAGTAGATCGCAGCAGCTTACACGTGCCACCACCCCCTGGCATTACGCAATTTTCGGCTTACACGTTGCACCCCCCGCCTCCCCCCCCGCCCTGGGCGTGACGCAGCAGCTTCGCCGGTCGAACCTGCTGCCATATGACTCACGCTTTTCCCGCCGTCGTCCTTCTAGCTTCGCCAATGGGCTCGCTCCACTCCTAACCACACATCCACAAAAGACAAAAAATATGGCGGCGTATCTTTCCCTGTTCTAGTGAAAGATTCATTCTCATTCTCATTTTGCACACTTGGTGGGTACTGGAGCGAGGCCCAATTGCCTCCACCTCCTCCTCAAGCCATTGATCATCGGGGCCAAGGTCCCACTTGCACGGATTAAGAGTCTGGCCGTTGATCTTTGCTATCTACGGTCAGTATCGCCTAGAGTCTGGCCGTTGATCTTTGCTATCTACGGTCAGTATCGCCTAATTCGTGTAAGTGGGACCTACCGGTAGCCTCGGGTTGTCTCGGCAGGGCATTCCTCAAACTGCCGATAGGCCGCGGAGACCTAACGCCGCACAACACGCACAGGGCGCCACGTGTCCTGCCTACGCGTGGGCCTCCGAAGACGCCCGCGTGGACAGGATGACTCGGTAGATACCCTCTTACCTCGAACCGGGAGCAAGACCCAGGGCCTCACTCGACTAACCACCACATGCACAAAAGACAACAAATATGGAAGTGTATCTTCCCATGTCCTACCGAAAGATTCATTCTCAATTTGCACATTTGGTTGGTGAGTAGTGGAGCGAGCCCCCAGTTACGTTACCTGATTCTTTCTGACCGCTGATTGCTGTAATCTCTACGGTGCAAAACGGGCAACCCAATTAGTCAGGTGGGGGTCTTTTTCCCAACCAGGTGGGTCTTTTTCCCCGCGGGGGACTCGTGTTTGGCTAGGCACGCAAGTGGCATTCAGGAGGTTGTGGGTTCTAACCCCATGAAGACCTGCTGCGTACTTAGTGCCAACCAGCTGTGATCGTATAACCAACACGGGTGTGCGTGTGAGCGTGAGTGGGTTGTGTGGTGTGTGGGAGAGTGTTGGCCATAGCCACTGCTTCGACTCGATGGGGGTGGGGGATGTAGATGGGAGGTGCAGCTACTGGCAAAATGCTCTGTCTTTGTGTTACCCCACCAGCAGCCCCGCCCTACTCCCTGACCACCCCCGCAACATGCATCCCCTAGGTACTATGCTTGCAGGGGTCCTCTGTATAGGCTTAGGAGTAGTGGTAGGTGGAGAGTGAAGGTGAAAATGAGAGAAGAACTTGAATAGCTTAGTGTCAAAAAAAATCTCCAATCATTTGCGTTCCAAAGTCGAGGGTTGTCTGCTTTCATTTTTCTTCGTCTCGCGAACTATGGGTGGAGGAGGTCGGCTTGTCGCGGGATGCAGTTGAATAAGGGGGTTAGGAAGAGTGTGGGTGGGGATCAGTTGTCTTTTACCTGCGTATGGAACAGGCGTGGGACTGAAGTGGAGGGGGGGAGTTTTTTTGGTAATATTGCATCCCGCTGGTGAGGAGGGCTAGCTGGCGGGATTGGATTAGGGTACAGTTGCAGTTGAGATGGTGGCTTAGCTGTTGTAAGTCTGTGCCCGAAGGCGGTAAGGGGATGGGAGGTTAGGGTGTTGCGCCTGTTTTGCGATGGAGTGAACTACTTTTTCCTCCTCCTTCGAACTATGTGGTGGAGGAGGTCGGCCTGTCGTAGGAAGACGAAGAATTGAAGCCTGCTTTTCATCGCTATGGGATTTTGGTGAAGTCGTTGGTCTATTATTCTTCTCTCCCGAACTATGTGGTGGAGGAGGTCGGCTCGTTGGGAGATGAAGAAGAGTAGGGGTTGAAAGGAAATAGAAGGAGGGCTAACTGTATTCTTTTCAGGGGGGGGGGGGGGGGGGAAACAAAAGAAAAGAATCTCAGGGTTGACCATGCGCGGATAGCTGATTGGTGGTCTTAAGAATGTTTTTGGACCCTGGGTCCTAGCAACTCTTCTTAGGTGGCTTCGATGTTGTTATACTCAGTGACCTATGACTGTTCGATGTCAGAACGACGCTGGCCGGTGCTGGGGTGTTGCCATGTGACCTGCTGACACAGGAGCGTGAGGCCTGGTAGAAAGATTTGCGGATGCTTTGGGGTGGGCATTCCACGGGACAACTAAGGGTTGTTGCTGGGACGACGCTGGTCGGAGTTGGGGTGAGTTGTGTTGCCCTGTAACCCAGCAAGATGTGGGGGTGTGAGACCTGGAAGAGTTCGGCAGGGAGTCGGACAGTGTTGGAGTGCTTCGGAAGGGTTTGTTAGGGATTTCAAGGGTTTTTAACACATGTATAGGACCTATGAGGTCTATTTTTATGTTTTCCGTATTGCTCGTACGTTTTCTTAAGAGACCGAGGTGAGTGGGAGAAGGAGAAGGTGGGATATTACGCTTCTTACTAGCAAGAGGGTTAGTTGGTAGGACAAGAATAGGGTACAACAGCAGCGGAGATGGTGGCTATGATGCAGTAAGTCTTTCCGGAGTGGGGTACAGGGGATGGATTGGGGGGTTTGAGTCTTTTAGGTGAGTGGGAGAAGTACATGATAAAGCATCGTACTAGCGCGGAGGCTAGTTGGTAGGATGGAAATAGGGTACAGCGGCAACGGAGATGGTGGCTTTGTTGCAGTAAGTCTTGTCAGACAGAGGTAAAGAGGATTGATGGGGGGCTCATGAGTCGGTTTCTCAATCTTATCCAATTCTGAAGTTTGTCTTATTCTCCTAAGTAGCTCCATTTTTTTCTTAGCCAAAGCCGAGTAATGGCCCCGGTATCTCAAATTTTCAAAATTCGATGTAATTTTTCATATGGGACGCTGAGCCCGGTTCCCAGCACATGTTGCTCCCCACGAATAGATTGGAGTTTTGTTTCCCACCTTTAAAAAAAAAAAAAAAAAAAAAAAAAAAAAAAAAAAAAAAGCCTTTTGTTTGGGGTAACTTCAGTAGAGTCACAAAAACAAGTTATAATTGCACAATGGGGAAAGATACAGTTTGCAATTGCACTTCGGGCACCTTACCTAGGCAGAAAGCTGGGTTGTATACATTGTTCGAACTGCAATTTGAAACTGTATCTCGACCCATAGTGCAATTATAACTACTTTTTGTAACTCCCGCATAGTTTTTCGAAAAAAAATAAAATCAGTAATAACATATATTCCACACCGTCACTTTCCTCCGTATTTGGATAAGACTCCCCACCACACTCCAACAAAGAAAATCTTACCTACGGTAGCAGTTTGCCATTTTGCAGCCAGGAGATTGGGGTTGCCTTTTGTTGTTCAGTGGACATTTTCGTTTTAAGTATGTCATTGCCGGTTAGGAAGGGCTTAGAGGGAGTCGTTAGGTACATAGGAAGGGTACGGTCATTGTTACAAAACCAAACGGTTCATCAAACACTCGTGCGACACGGCTTGTAGGCAGGTTGTGGAGGGCGTCGTCTAGGTTTTCCTGTTTGGAAAAGCATAGGGAAAGAGGGGGCGGGAGGAGGAAAAAGGGGGGGGCTCCATTACATAGTGACCCTGTCATATTTATAATTTCTATGTTTTAGCGGAAAATACATTCTTGTTTTGTGTTTCAGGTGAAATGTGGGGGGAGGTCCATTTTACAGTCTTTAACATTTTGGCATTGGTTGCACTAGTCGTAGAATAGCTAGACCCATAACAGTCAGAGAGCTGGATGATCAAATCGCATTTTGTATAAATACTGCAGACGCGTCTTATTTCTCATATCCTTCTTGGTTTTATGAAATGATTGAGTTGCGAGGCACATCCCTTCCGTATGTGAGAGTTGGGCCTCCCCAAGAATTGTTACGACCAGTCGGCCGCCAAAACATATCTGACCCATAAAACCAGAAGGCACTCTCAAAGCCTGCCAGAAATCGAATTCTAACCAAAGGCCAACATTTTGAATGCACAAGACCAATTACAGGTTCAGAGATGCCCCCCGTTTACTATGAACGGCGCGACTATGAAGTAATCCCTGGATGGTCCCCGTCGACCATCAACGGACGGACAATGAAGTAATCAGTGGGCAGTCCCCCTCGGATATGTCGTGACGATCAACAAACAGATGTTTTGCAACGGTTTACAAAACGGCGCAAACAACAAAAATAGACAAGATACTGATGCTCCTGTTCGATCTGTGTCCCATAGCACAAACAAGAGGAAAAAAAATCAGGTTCCACCACGTTGCATGACAACCGGATGCCTCAAGAAACACGCCTATTATGGGCCTCGCCACACCACTCCAAAAGCCTGAATTTTTTTCGAGAGTACTCTCGAACTCCAAGATGCAGAAAATAACCATCGAGAGTACTTGTGGTCACACTGCACTCTCAAACGGCCTACTCCCGACTTCGGGAGTTGAGGGCAAAGTGTCCTTTTGTGTTCATTGAGCCGCTTCCTGCAAAATCTATGGCAATAGAGACGATGTCAGTCGCAACATGCTCGCGGAATTCGGAGCAAAGTTGATCGCCTCCTATAGGTCTCCTGAAACCGTCTGCCTACATAAAAAAAAAATTAGAAAGTGCTATAAAAAAACCATTATTGACAACTCCCGAGTTGATTTCTGACAGGCGATAAGGGATAACTTCAGTACAGTCGCAAAAAAATAGTTTGAAATTACACTTCAAGCATTCGCCTGAACATAACACTCCCCTACGTAACCCTACCTGACGAGAAAGATAGCTTGTATACATCGCCCGAAGTACAATTTGAAACCATTTTTTCCCCAAAGTGTATCTTCAAACTCTTTTTGATACTCCAACGTAGTTTCCCTCTTTTTTTTTGTTGGGTATAGATGCAAGTTGTTGTTCCGACTGGGTATAGCGGGTATTCCCATCTTTAAGTGGGGTACAGACGCAATTTCCTTTTTTTTTTTTTTTTTTTTTTTGGGAAGAATAGCCCTTGCGATATTCCCATTTCTCAATTTGTTCGAGCAGTGAGAATGTTACAGAAGGGGTATGAGGGAACATATTGGA